AAGCACGCTATGCCCAGACTTCATGTGACATTTTTCTCTGTTTACTCAGTAAACACAGTAAAGTAACCTTGAAATGACCCTCAAAAGGCTAGTGAACAAAAAGAAAATGTTATGTTCTTTTCAAGTACATATCTGGGGGAAAAACACATCAACATACAAATACGAAAGATTTTATGGGAAAGTCAACGGGACACTTGGAGAGAAAAAAGAAAAAAAAAACAGACCTGCAACTGGTGAGTGAATTGAGAAAATAAACTGGCCATGAATAATGATTGCGGATCATGGAACTGTATTAAACTGTATTATAAGGTGACTTTGCTAATATTCAGTTAAATCAGCTACTAGTAGTACTATATAGCTACTAGTACACACAAACACCATCCTAAAGGTCAACGCTCCAGTGGGCGTCTAAGAAATTCAACATATCCTTTGAAAACTTCTAAATGAGTTTGACTTAACTTGCGCTCAGGGTTTTCTTTGCAATTATCTTCATGCTTTTTCTCCATTTGACACAGGTCTGGGATTACTTGATCTTTGACCAAGTCGGTCCAGATGAATCCTTCTCAAAGTTAATTCCCTCCTCTGAAGAGGGCTTCCTGCTCGACAGCCAACAAACTTTAGCCAAACGCTGTTTTTTTCAATTAGCCTTTTGATCTTGCTTGATTTAATGGTGAGCTAAGCTTTTCCATTAAATCATTTGGCAAGTAGGAAAATATATAAGGGACAGAAACATGGGGGTGGACGTGAGAACTGTGCGCTTTTGAGAGAAAAACACCAGCGTATTTAGTGATACATAAGATGAAAACACAACAGTAACGATCATGTTGCATTGAAAACAGAATCCCTTATTATTGCATTGAAAGCTCTGTGCTGTATTGAACAATGTGTTTTCCTAAAAACTACTTTGCAAGCTGTCAGTTTCTTTGCAAATTCTTTCTCCTGGCATGCAACTATATTGGCTCTCGCAGCGTGAATGCAATTTTTTGTAAATCTCAGAATCTTTTGGAAAGAAAAGGGGGAACAAAGCATATTTATGCACTGAAAATTAAACTTTAATTATGTTATTGCAATGAAGAAACAAAATACAGCAGAAGAAGGACAAGGAATTATGGGGAAAAGGAGAAGGAATGGAAGCTAAAAATGTGATGAGGTTGGTTCAGACTTTTATATATATTATATAAGTTGTGGAAATGTATTAGTTAAAAGATGTGGGGAAACCTTTAGTAAACCTGCATTTACCAAAAATATGACTTCCTGTCAGACATCCTGAGACACTTTCATGAAACCAACTCACAAACTTCACAAACAACTTCTTAATTGTATTTTTTAAAATACTAACCCTAATACCATTTTTAAAAATGATATAACTTTCAGTTCCCCCAGAGTTACCACTTCAGCTAATAATAAAGTTTCATAGTTAAAGCATGAGTCAGTCAGAAAGCAACTATATACATACAACTGTTTTTGTTTGTTATATGGAAGACATTTTTGCACTACCTTCACCAGCTGAAGCAATTACAAGTTGCCTCTTTCAACTCAAGTCAAGGTCCTGAAGCAAGAAGTCATCATTCAAACGGTTCAATTCAAACACGGTTTCTTTCGCCTACAGCAAGCTTTGACTATAGCCACACCTTGAGGAGTCAGAAGGAACGGATCTCAAAACCACAAACGGGATCAGCTTGAAGTGAGGCCTACAGTTTTTAAAAGCAAAACCCTTCCAAGTTCCTCCATCTTTCTTTCACAGTCTTGTCTCTCAGAGACACACAAATAATATCAAGGCCCTGGATAGTTGCCTTAGCCCTTGTAAGCTGTCAACTGTGTATTTATGTGTCTGTGTGGATGACAGGAAGGGCCGTGATGAACATTGTTCGGCTTAGGGATGGCGCCCCATTATCGGACTCCATTATCTTGTCTATCAGTGTGACTGATCTGAAGGTGGCGGATACTGTGTCCACAGAATCCAGGGGCCTGTCTTGTGTCAAGTCAGGAGGTGTAAGAATAAGGTGTCCAGTCGGGCTATCCGTCAGGTGAAGGTGTCTTTTATTCAGCCACACAAACAGAGCCCGAAGAATATCGTGGCATCTTGTGGCCTTCTCGTTCTGAAGTGATTACTGGTGTCACGGTAAAAATTGGTGCCTAAAGCTGGATTGCCAGTGTGACGATAAGATAATTCTGGGACTGAGAAACTTGGAGGCATGTTTAACTGATGCATTTTGCTTCAATTGTCCCTCCCAAACGAGGAAAAAAGACAGGGCCAAGATTGCACATTCTGTTTACTCAATTTATGCCAAAGCAGGCTTGCGTTTACAAAATCCATTTTGTATTCAAGACACTTGTGTCTTATTATTGCACCTAAATAGCTTCATACCATCTTGCGCCTCACACTCTGTGCTTATCTTCTGGTGTGATTCTCCTTTCTGAATTACGATCAAACCCCTCTGAAAGTACTCAGTCCATAAATAAAGGTGCTGCGCTATCTGTATTTGAAGAACCATATTGAGAGTAGCTTCTTCAAATAAATGTCTGGACCAAGTCACCAGAAGCTGAGCAGCATCTCTCTTCACACCATCATTTTCTCTTTTTTATTTAGTATTGCTATCACTTTTATCTATAGCTTCCTTGCGAGCTAGTAAACACCTCTCCAGGGTTGTCACACATCCAAAGACACATCCTCATAAGTCAACATTTGGCGTTCAAAACAACCTGAAGGGTTTTTTTTCCGCCTGTCAGTGCTTAATGCGGTCATGACCCTGGAGTCCTCTGCCTGGGCCAAAGACAGATGAGTTTCAGGATAATAGATCTGCCTTATGAACGCTG